TTGATTTGGATTAGCGCATCAATTAAATGATAGTATCGATGGTGGTCAGATTAATTAAAATGGGTTTAAAACAGCACAAAGTTTAACTCGAATGTCCTTAATTCCCTCCAATATCAACAAAACTCGTATCTCAAATACTTTGAAAGCACACTTCAAGCTTCCCACCTCAAGATTTACAAAGCCCTACACCACGCCTGCTTCAACTCAAAGTCGTGTTCAAATGAATTCCTCTGACCAACTTTCATCTCTACCAGCTTTACAAGCATCAACAAGGACGAGTACTTCCCTATCCAAGAAACCTAGAGATTCACCAGAACACATCGATGATACTTATCTTGTCAATGGACAATACGATGATGGACTGAACAGTCCTAAAACGTCATCCGAAGATCCCAACGAGCCACTTCGACCAGATATTGACGAACTCGAACAGTCAGATAACTGGATCAAATTGCCTACAACATCTCCAATCTTGCCTTTTACTACGTCGGACCACTCTGATACCTTGGATGGGGCTGTAGATTACTCAAAGGACTCAATTGAATCTCAAATTGATGAACTTGATCATACTCGTCCACCAGAAAACCATGCACCACTCACTCGTGCTCGGTCCCAAGCTCTTAAGCGCAGGATAAGTCATTCTCAGGCTCTCTCTCCCATTTCAATACCACCTCAAATCGGCTCTGCTACTGGAGCGCAAAGAGTTGCTAAGCTGCCAAGTTGTGCTGTGACTAAAACTTTGAGTCATGCTCCAACCCGATTGACACATGCTTCAACTAGTAATTTTTCTCGTTTATTTCCTGCTTTTAAATCTGCAACTCACTCTTTGCATTCTTATCGATCTGAAACTCGCTCTCCAACTCATTCTCCAACTCATTCTTCAACTCGTTCTTCAATTCATTCTCCAACTCGTCTGTTTCAATCTCCAACTCGTCTGTTTCGATCTCCAACCCCTCTTTTCAACTCTCCACCTCGTGCTCTGAGCCAATCTTCAACTCGCAATCTTTCTCAATCTCCAACTCACAATCGTTCTCGATCTCCAACTGGTAATCTGAGTCACTCTCCAGACTCATCTGGTGACTCAGATCTGGATTCAGTTGAAACTCCAGTTGGGGCTCGCATAAAGTCTTCAGGTAAAGCAAAAGGTAAAGGGAAGGGTAAAGGGAAGGGTAAAGGG